TTTTAATTTTCTTGAACAAAATAATATACAAGCAGATTATAATGAATTAAAAGCTTTAAAATCATTGAAAAAAAAAAAAAAAAATCATATAGTATTCGAAATTCAATACAAACAAACGTTACTAGTTTTTTCAGTAAATAATTGACTATTAATTAGCATTTAATTTTTGTAAATTATATCAAGTATTGTATTAAGTATTATTTATTATATTTAAATCACAAAAAATTTTATTATTATTAAAATTTTCCTGTAGATCATTATCTCGTTTCAACGGATTTAGGTGGTCAGTCCCATAGATCCGTTGAAACGAGGGTTGACTGTAAATAGAAATCTTACTGAAGTCTAATTTGCATGTTTTCTTACTAAAATATATTTAAGCAATGAAAAGAATAATAGTAGTCACATATAATAATAACAACTAATTCGATTGTCGCGCAACAATTTATTCTGATCTTACGCCACCAGGTCTAAAAAAAATGATTAATAATTAGTAGTAATTATATCATAATAATAAATAAAATATGGTAATTAATATTTTTTATATAAATTTAGGAATGTAATGATTAAATTAAAAGGTATTTGCATGATTTCTTTTTCAAAGGTTAATGGTTAAACGAAATCAGAAGGAATTTTTATGCGACCATTTATTATTAATTATTATATACTATTAATTATTAAAGATCTGTTTGTGTACGATCAGAAAGAATTATTACGCGATACTTTTTTTTGTTATTTTCTATTTCTGAATTTTATTTAGTAATTTTGGGAAATGTACCTGACTTGAGTAGGGAGCAACAGCTAAGAAGGGCACCCACCAAGAAACGTGATCAGGATATAGTATGAAGTCTACGACAAGTGTCTTTATCTATTACGACCTAATTACGACATTACGGCTTTAATTACAGCTATCGTTCAGATGTCGTAATATTATGACATTCACAAATCAATTTGGGCTGAATGTATACTGTTGTTGTTGATTTAATCCTTTTAACATTAACTTGCGTGTTACCCAAAAAATTTTGTCGCGTAAGAAATATTTTATTAATATTAATGTTAATTAACATTAACCCGCGTAATCTATTTATTCAAAATGGCAAAAAAAAAGTAGTACTAATAAACTAAAGTTGTTTCCGATTATTCTACAAGGTTTATGGAAATCAATATAATCAAGGTAAGTTCAGCAAAATTTCAAATCTTGAGTCATGGATGGATATCAATAATTTGTAAAATATTTCTACAATTCTTCAAGCAAAAGACAAAAAACTCGACTTTTAATCCACCAAACAATAATACTAATGCTATTACTCCATCAACTAATATTTTACTCCTCCGATTATTAATACCATTATTCCATCAGCTAACTAATAATGAATGCTATTACTCCTTTGTCAACAAATTATTTCATCAACTAATAATACTGTTTCTCCATCAGCTAATAAATAATTCTCAATCAACAATCACATCACCATCACCAACAAGAAGACCAACTAGTTTCATACATATGTAGTGATGGCATTGATCTTTTTAAACGTATATTTTTTGGAAAATTTTTACTTTGGGCTATTGAAAAAAAATTTTTTAATAGGTAATATTAGAGAATAATTGTGTAGTTTTCCGCCAAAATTTATCCGCCAATTTCAATTCCCGTGAGAATATTCGACATCCGCCAAAATTAAAATATCCGAAATTAATATTCAATTAATAAATTAAAATAATTTATTCACGGGAATTCAAATTGGAAAACTACACGATTATATATAGAGAGGGTGATACTAATTTTAATACATTGAGACAATTCATGATTTTATTAAGAAAAAACCACTGAATTGCAATTAAGAAACAAATATAGCGGTAAAAAAGTTAGATAAGAAATTTAATAAGTTTTCTGATGAATTGAAAGACTCGACTTTCTCAAATTATAAAAGAAAAAGATAAAATTTGGCATAAGGTATATTCAGTTATATTTTTTTAAAATTTTATTATAATAATTTACGAGCTTTAAATAAATTATAGGATGCGTGAAGAAAAACTTTCAGAAAATATCCAACTGAAATAGGATTCAAGCAATCCTTTATTAGTATTGTTGAAGAACAATATGAATCAAAAGAAGTGTGATTAATACACAGAGATTTGAGAGACTTTGGCAGACATCTTTGCTAAAACATGCAAATATATTTTTATAATCATTATACCTTTAACCGGTCAAATTCTATGAGATCAGCCCATGTGTCATTAGTACAATGCACCAAAAATTCTGTTTTTCTATTTGAATTAGATCACATAAATTCAAGGGCCTCAGCTAAAGAGATTCAAGGATGGAAAAGGTCATCAAAATCAGGATGGTGCAGACAGAATTTATTTAACCGATGGACAATAATGATAATACTTATATCTCAGAAATCACATGGCCAAATGGTTAGAGTTCAATGTATTTTTTAATGACAGTTGTGAGCCTGTTTTTAGATCCTAAATATGGTATTAAAATGAGCATACATATAGTATATGGAGATTAACTTTAAAAAATAAATGATAACGAATAAATATAAATATAATATTAATGACAATAATAATAATATTAGATTCCAAGAAATCAAAAATAAATAATAACAATAATAATGGATAAAAATAAAAATAAATAACAATGATAATAATAATAACAATGATAATAATAATAACAATGATAATAAATATTATATTCCGAGTTTGCCCAAGAAATCAATTATTGATTGCAAGGTTTCTTGAGGTCTTTCATCTTGAGGTAAATGTCCACATTGTGTTAATACTTTAAATTCCATGATTGAATCAGAAGGTGAGTTCAATTTGATTTCTTCAAATGTACTTTTATGTACATCACATGTTGTATATTTGTCATCATCTCCTACCACGAATAAAATTGGAATATTTTGTAATCCGTTTTTATGTTGTAAAATTTCAAGTGGAATAAAATATTTGACTAGAAATGAAATCGATTCATAATAATTTGGTAAAGTTGACGGTGTTTTATAATAAGGAGTGATTGCAGTTTCCCAATCAGGAATCGACTTTGCATCATGAAATAATGCTTGGGCCGGCAAATTTTTGCTTATAAAATATTTCAAAAATAATATAGGAAATGATCCTAAAATCGTACATGCAATTGGTGGTGGACCTAAAGAAACATGAAATTTATTTTAAATTGTTAAATATTAAATATATATAAATTACACATAATCAAGGGAAAATTTTTACCTTGATCTTCAAGTTTTATAGAAGGACCAAGGAAAATTAAAGCAAAGGCAATATGTGGATATTTTATTGAGAGATAAGAACTAATTGTACAACCAGCAGATGATCCAACAAACACAATCTTTTTATTAGCATATCCTAAACATGATAAAAACTTCAATATAAATTCACATGAAGCTTCTTGTGTATAAGGATTTTTGCCTTCCTCCCATTGTGTTGGCCTTTCGGTGAAACCCCAAGTTACCCTATCGTAAGCTATTACATCACAACCTGTAGCATTAGCAAGTGGTTGCATGAGATGTCTCCATGTGTATACGCTTCCGAAAATTTGATGAAGACATAAAATAACAGGTTTATCTGGATTTATGTTGTTGTTGTTATTAGCATGTTGTAGATTTTGTTTTAGTTCTTCTTGTTGAGGAATTGATATTTTATAAAATGTTTGAATATCGCCAACGATCACAAAACGTCCTTCTGGATCTACCGATGCTGTTGATTCAAGAAAAACTCTTTGAGCAGAAGAGAGTGACATATTTAATGAATTTTCAAAAAATTGAAAAAATCATTTGGAGTGAGTGGTATTTATTCTTTCTATTTTTTTCCTACTTATTCATTTGTTTGCATAATTTTTTTCTTATGTAATAGCTAATTGTTTTTTTATTTATATTACTTACAGTCGGAGATGTTTCCAAATTAATTTTAGGGAATCAAAAAAAAAATCCAAATATTCATTAATTAATAGCCACATGATTATCCTTTCGTTGTAAAAATGTCGCAAATAGAAATTTGGCAAGGACCATGCGCAATCTTTCAAAGTCGTGTACAGTAAAACCTTGTTTCGACGCATCTTGTTCAACGAATTTTCGAAACCATAAAATTTCGTTGAAACGCGCGATTAGTTAAACAATTTTGAATGGAATTTTCTTGTAAGGCTATATTATATTATATGTAATATTTGATTATTATATAAATTTAATTAGAGGATTAAGTAATTTTAAAAACTCCACTTAAACAATAATAATTAAAAAATTCTTTTTGTGACATGTTGTTACAGTATTATGTCATCATTAGTAATAGTAAAATTCGACGCTTGTTTGTTACACGTAATATAGTTTCTTCAAAGCTCTGCTTTTAAAAAGCATTTTAAATTTGCATTATGCAATTGGAATTTTGTATTTGCAAATTTGATACTAAATTTTGGAGCAAATTTTTCCTGTGGCCCCGCAAACTATATGCGTAGATAGGTTAAATACAAAAATCGCGGTTTGACCCACACTGTGATTGGCTTATTGGAGACAATCATTCCAAATTTGGTAATTTTTCACTGACATTGCATTTCTATAGTGGTTATATCCGTTGATTATACAGTAAAACCTTGTTTCGACGCATCTTGTTCAACGAATTTTCGAAACCATAAAATTTCGTTGAAACGCGCGATTAGTTAAACAATTTTGAATGGAATTTTCTTGTAAGGCTATATTATATTATATGTAATATTTGATTATTATATAAATTTAATTAGAGGATTAAGTAATTTTAAAAACTCCACTTAAACAATAATAATTAAAAAATTCTTTTTGTGACATGTTGTTACAGTATTATGTCATCATTAGTAATAGTAAAATTCGACGCTTGTTTGTTACACGTAATATAGTTTCTTCAAAGCTCTGCTTTTAAAAAGCATTTTAAATTTGCATTATGCAATTGGAATTTTGTATTTGCAAATTTGATACTAAATTTTGGAGCAAATTTTTCCTGTGGCCCCGCAAACTATATGCGTAGATAGGTTAAATACAAAAATCGCGGTTTGACCCACACTGTGATTGGCTTATTGGAGACAATCTTTCCAAATTTGGTAATTTTTCACTGACATTGCATTTCTATAGTGGTTATATCCGTTGATTATCCGGGTGTTTGAGTACTTGGTCAATCAATAAAGCTCAACATCCGGATAATCGGTCAGTCAATAAAACCCAACACTCGGATAATCAGTCATTCACCGAATATCCGTTGAATAACCGCTGAATATCCACTGAATATCCATTGAATATGCATATTATTTTTTTTTTAAGAAATACAAATAACAACAGACCAATTTTATTCGTTTAGCTGTCATTGTGTGTTTCCAGCTTCACTAAATACAGTCAAACCTTGTCGCAGCAGACGAATAAAGATTTATTTAAAACCCGTTGTGGCAAGATTTACTGATCTTGCCACAATGGATTTTTATGTTTTTATAATTAATGTGAATGTGAAACAAAAATTTAAAAATCCGTTATAATTATAGTCCGTTGTGACAAGGTCGCTCATTTGGAGTAGAAGTTACTGCAATGCATAAATATTCTTTAAATAATAATGACACAGTTAGTATTCATATTACTTGATATATTATTATAATAGAAAGAATGTTGGTGATAGTGAAATAGTGGATAAAATAGTATTAACATGATATTGGACGTCGCCTGCCCAATATCTTATACTTAATGTATATATTCTTTCAAAAATTTTTATTTTCTATATTTCTGTACCCTCGATTATTCACCAATTATCTGGTGAAAAATTTCAACACCCGATTAATTAATCAATGAAAAATTTTCAACACCCGATTAACTGGATAATCGGTGAATAATCGATGAATATCATTTGGCGGATACGACCACTAAATGAAACTAATAAGGAAAGACTGAAACAAGATTCATGTTTCTTTTTAAATAAATAGCAATCTTTCCAGTGAGCTTGAATTTAAACTGGATCTTAATTATTTGTTTTATCCGAATTAATTTTTTCGAATTATTTGCTTTATTCAAATTAATTTTCTTATTCGAATTAATTTTCTTATTCGAATCTATTTTATTCTGAATTAATATTAATTTTTATTCGAATAGAAGCCCTAAGGAGTAGTAAAAAAGGAGCATTGCTTGAAAGTATTTCTTTAAATAAAGCCCTATCAGAAGTTCAAGATGCTTAAAATCTTAATGATGAATCTAACTCATCACAGCAAGGATTACTTGCCCTCACCACTCCTCTCATCACTTTCAATGTCTGTTTACTAGGTATTGGAGCAAAAATATCATCAATTCCATTGCATCTAGCCTCCTCATCATGATATGTTTTCAGTATTTACAAATCCTGTGGACATCACATATTGAAAATTTATGTGACCATTCCATATCAGGGATGACCATCCTGTCTTCTTGCTTTACACAACAATAGGCATTGGGTTAGAAATAGGTTTTGTCAGATAGCAGCTGAGGGAACCCTTTGTAGCATAATTCTCCATTTGATGGTTGCAATGGTGTAATCTGATACTTCATGAACAAATTATACAATGTTTTTCTATGATGGAATGTCTGGATGGATTGCATTAAGTGAGATGTTTTTTTTTTCATGTAGGTAAAGTTGTGCATGTGATCATCATCATGTTTGAAGAAATGCCTAATTCACCATCCCAGGGTCCTTCTGCAACTTGTTCTGGTAGTACAGGTAAATGTGCAATGGGTGATTGCTTGGCATAGTATTGCCATTTCATGCAAGTGGGTCCATTTGTCTTTGGTCATCACCAAGGTGTAAAAGATCTGAGGAAGCCTTTACACACTTATTTCTTTTTAAAAAGGAAATTCAATGGCAAGGTTGTGGTTTTTGATAGATGTTTACATTTTTGGTGGCCAGTATCTGGTTCTAATTTTTAAAATTTCTTCTCTCAAGCATCAATGTGGCTAGTATCAACACAAACAGGACCTAGCTATCTATTGAAGGTGGTATTCTTTAATGTACTCATAGTGTCCTTTCCTATTGGAGTAAACATCAAAGATTCCATGTCAGGGTTTCCATATAAGATCAGGAGTATGATATTGTTTGATTCAACAAAACTCACAATCAGTATACTGTAGTTTGTGTCAGTTGGCTTTTTACTTGATAATTTAGATATAATTTTTATTATATTTAAATTGTTCAGATACATGTGTATTAAACTTTAAAATATTTAATATTAATAAATTATTTGTATATTATATGATATATTGATAGTACATCACTTCAATTTGTCAATATTATAAAAAATGAAACCATTGATTTGAAAAGGTAAGAAACAAACAATACTGCAATTATGTATGAATGATAACAATGATTATTAAAAATTACATTTATTTTTTTGTCAAAAATTATTGTTTTTTATTTAGTGTGCATATTTGGTAATCCAAATTTCAAAATGAAAAAAAAAGTCCAAAGAAGTTATTATATAATATCATTACTCAAGACATTTAAACTATAGTAGCCAGATAAATAAAAGTAAATAAATAATACATAATAAGTGACAAGATTTAACTTATTCAAATAAGTCATCTGGTATAGCTAAATCAATTTGTTGAGAATCTACAAATATTTATCACAAGAGTGGATATTAATGAATATTGTTAATTTTAATAAAAATGAAAATAGTCAATGATTGAATATTAATAATTACCATTATTATTACCAATAATTGTTACTTTATTG